ACACATTCACTCCTTTCTTTTTCACACACACACACACACACACACACACACACACACACACACACACACCTTACTCTGCATTCAGTCCACACAGTCATCCCTATCACCAACTACTACACGCACATTTTGGGGTTCTGTATCTTACGAATCGGATGATTTTAGTCAAGTTCTGGCTTCTAATCTTTAGAACTATCGCCATTTTCTTTCCGATGTTGTCCCTAACCTCTAACACAATAAATGAATTCAGTGATAATGTCAACATATTGTATCTTCTTCCTTATCACCCCTCCCATCCCACCACTACCAACATTGACTGCGACCGCTGTGCTCTCAAACGGTCCTCATTTCCGACTCTGGACATACGGCCAACCAGGGTTTCAACGACCGTATTCTTTTACCGGACTTTCAGGACTTCCTTTGTTTTCGAAACCCGCAAGCATTAACTTCCCACACCCCAGCTGTATTTGAATTCCGTCCCTCTCGGTCCCAAAACTTTGTTTTTTTTATCGCGTTTCTTCCCCTGAGTTCCTCCTTTTTATAGTCTCCCTAAATTTCCACACTTGTTTCTCGTGCCGCGCGCAAGAGTGGTTTCTTATTCCATCGGAGACAGCTAAGCACTCCCGACCACTTTCGTCTTTTATTGTACAAACAACAGATTCACCCCACCCTGTAGACATATGGTCGGTGGTGATGTTTCCTACTCCGCCGTCTCTCTATCCAACCGCATTCAAAGCGAGTCAATTCGTCGTATTTATGATGACTCCTTATTCACGATCAACATGAGAAGTTACTAAACCACCGGCAGGTGGTTGCTTACTCTCCGCTTCTTTGTCTTCATTATTTTGGATCTGGTTCTCTCGAGCATGTCGCATTATTGTACCCTTCCCGCCTTACATTTCTCGGCTATGGTCTGACCCCGACAGCTGGTTATCTTTATTAATTGCGTTTCCCTCCTATCCACAACATCCATGTCTTCAAAACAAAAAGGAATCAGCGGTTCTATTCCTCTAGATTACCCCTCCTCCCCACCCCGCCTTTATACAGAACATTCACAGATCATGCATTTTAGGGCTCTCCTATTCTAAGGCACTTTGATTTTACAGTAAGAACATGAACCAGCAATACAGATTCGATAGTTACACACAAAGAAGTAGAAGAGAAGGCAATTTAAATCTGGATGAAGTGGTGGAACTCGTGGTGGGACATTCGTGTTTCTAATGTGCAAATAAAAATAGAGTTTACGTACCAGAGGAAAACAGTGCGATACCACATTGTCGGGGGGTACACAAGCTCCGAAACCGAATGCGGGGAACAGATTGTCGCTGAAAATAGACAGGGAAAACAGAAGGGAGACGAAACAGTGAGAGGTGAATGACACGGGAGCGATTGACTGGCATCCTGTGTCAACAGTTGGCGTTGTTATACTACAGGTATTTGTTACGAAAAGTGAGAATAGTCATGGCATTAAATCGGGGTTTTGCACTATTGGTTGGGAAAATGTCGTCTTTTTCTGACGCCTATTCCTTGGGCGTTGAACAAAGTTTTCCGTCCCAAATCCAATTAGCCGGTAAAAAGTACATGATTCCACTCAAGCACTACCCTTAATCGGGTATACGCCTCATTTTGCCTGTCTTGAACCGCAATTTTCTGTGGGGATATGCCGCGGCGGCCACCGCCTCCGGGTCAGTTATTTCATTGGCGTTCTAGGCAAGTCCTTGTGACCGATTTCATTTGATTGACTCAATGATTTTATCATGACTCGTCACAGTCCGGACAGATTCAGATGTGCGTGTGTGTGTGAGCGCGCACGCGTCGCCAACGCACGACCCAGTATATGAAACCAATTCCCACCTCCGCCCAACCTCAATCACTTACACCACACACACATACACCTGCCCTCGATTTGCATCACCTGTCGCATAGAATCAAACGAGGGTTTCACATGACCAACATACTGAACTAACCGGACATACGGTCGGTGCACGCCTAGATGCACAGTATCTGCCGCGAAAAGACATTTGGGTAAACTGACCAAATCCCCTAGGTGACCGATGAAGGGGATGGCTGAAAAAGGGACATAATACATTACCGAGGCTGTTGTGCACATACTAGGATAAATTAGAAAACTATAGCAATCATCTGATTTATCCGTTTCACGTGAATGAGTACCTCAAAATGGAGCTCAACCTCAATCCTGAAATACATTCAGAAACAATCCGCTTCCGAAAAGAAGCTAAAATCATTGGTTTCGAACAGAAACGCGATGCAGAAACAGACAAAGAAAAACCACCGGTAGCTTACTTGTTGCGCATTTGATCAACACATAGCATACAA